ACCATGTGACTAGTTTCTGTATCATTATATTAGAATACTTCATTTATCCATTCTTCACGGGGAGTAAATGAGGCAGTGCACATAGATAGAGGATCTGGCTGCCTGCCATGCACCTCATTAAGCACGAGGCTTGCTCTTGCTTTAACCATGTGTGCATGTGGTATAGTTGGAGGAGTCCTGAATTACGAATTAGGAGACCCAAGTTGTCTTGATTCTGCCACTGACTTGCTTTGTGACCTTTGATGGGTCGCTTTACCTCTTTTACCCTTCAATTACCTTGTCTAAAAGTTGAGGAGATTTTGCTATGGGTGTTGCTTTTGCCTCAGTAGTTTGTGTAACACCTTCACAGCTCTTGGTTATCTTAATACTATCAGATCTTCCTCTTTTCCTTTAAAAAGTCTCACTTTTTTACATAAATATGTTTATTTTAAAAGGAAAGTGTAGCACAGTTATAAATGGAAAACTGGTCATATTTGTTATTAAGAGAATTATTTATAAAAATAAATATCCCACAACCAAAATACTGTTTTTAAAATTATAAACAATAAAAATAAATAATGAAAGACATGACAAAATATTTATTCATTTTACATTGTACTAAGCATGACTTCATTTAATCCTTATAATCCTTCAGAATATCCTTCAAAATCCATTTTGCAGATGAGTAAACTGAGGCAAAGAGAAGTTACTGACTTGGCCAAGTGTACCAACTAGTATGTGACAGAGCCAGGGTGCAAATTCAGGTCTGTTTGAGGCCAAGGCCCAGAAAGACTGCTGCATAGGGAGACCCTCAATTTACTACAGCCCCAGGAGAATCCTTCCAAGCTGATAACATTAGCCACTGTTCCCTTTCTGTCTTCTCACCCTTTAATCCAGTTCCTCATCTGAGAGACTTCACTGCATAGCAGGGCTGGCAACGTAGTTTGCAAAATGAAAATGCAGCATCCCTACTTCAAAATTTCTTATGAACTTCAAGATGATAGAGCATTAAACCAAGCGTGGGGTCCTTCTAAGAGCTAGACTGTAGATTGCACAGGTTGCATGCCCATGATGCTCACAGCTTTGAGTTTAGTTTTTTTTCCTTTGAAATGTGGTTAGATTTTCAGTCTTTTTTTGCAGCAGAGAAATTAAAAAATAAAAATTCTTTGTGACGGGGCAACCTAATTGGTTCTTTACTGTTTCTTGCTGCCATTTAAGGAAGCTGGCTCCTAATCTTTTGTTTGAGCATATTAATGAGTGTACAGATGCAAATTAGAGGCATAAAGGATGAAATTATTCTGCATATGAAAAGTGATGGGGAGGGGAAAGAGGCTAGAGCCTAACAGGGTGGAGAGGAAGATCTGAGAAGACCTGGGCACTGGCTGATGGGAGATTTTGGAGAGAGGAAAGGGCAGTTGCTCCCAGGGAGGAAAGAACAGGGTGGTTAAAAGGAATTTTATAAAGGTTTGCCATATGGTGAGTGATATCAACCTTGTTTGGTGTCATAATAGTTTTGATATGCCGGTCATAGATTTTTTTTCTACACTTTTAAAGTAAATAAATAGCAAAGATGAGATATATCCGTAAATATTCAAGTGTGTTTCACCTAAAATCAACTCATGTAATGCTGATGGTACTCATACCACACTTTGGGAAATACTACTCGTTAATTTGTAAGTAATTGTCTGTCAGAGTCGGCAAGAAACCAGTGGTATAGGGAGAACAGGTTAAACACTCTGGAGGCTTTTGGTTCAGGCTGCCACTGATGATACCTATCTGAGTAAATATTTAATTGCCTCCTCCATTTCAAATGCTCATTGAAAGGACAAAAAGATCTATGATGGTTGAAAACCCAGAGAACCCAGAAGAGTGCCATCTGCCATCAATATGCCAGAAATTTGGAGAGATATCAGAAAGATAGAATGAAGCCGGGCCAGACACTACTGAGAGAAGTTGCCGCAACCTGTGTTTCACCTCAGCCTAAGGCCAAGCCTGTCTGGGAGGGGCTGGAGGCTAGGGTACTCTGAGCTGGGGATCAGTCTCCATCCTGGAGAGACTCCAGAGAGCATACCATCTGGGGAAGATATCCTAGAGTGGAGACTCAGGCCACTGTGTGCTACTGCCAGCCAACACTTCCTTCAGATGGTGTGTTGAGTCCAGTGGCAACAGAGGCAGTCAGCTGGGGAAGGTGGGCACTGAGTGAACAAGTGGCAGTACAGAATATAGGTCCTGTTGAAGCTGCTTCCAACTGTAGTTTCTTTGCTGTATCATTTCCCTGGCAATATTAATCTCATTTTTTGTCCCCTGTGCTGGAAGCACTCTTCCAGGCCCTTTGTGTAGCCAGTTTCTTATTTCTTTTTTAGCTTAAATATCGTCTCAAGAGAGGCCAGCCCCTGTTTAAAGTAGGTCTCCTACCTTATGCTGCATTGGTATCCACTTACTTCATTGCATTCATTACAATTTGTAGTTATTAAATTTGTTCGTTTACTTCTTTTTTGTCTGTTTGCTCCACCATACTGTAAGCTCCATGAGGGGCAGGGATCTCATCTGATTTTTTCATTGATGTATCGCCAAAACCTAAAATATAGTAGACATTAAATAGATATTTGTTGAATGAGTAGGAGTTAGGAGAAAGCAAAAAGGACAAAATGGGTTATTTTTAATGTTGTCAAGACATGTAATATACAGTGAAGATAAAACTATAATGAGTGAACATTTTTGCATAGTGTTGAAATATAAAACCAATGAACCAAAATCAATAGCTCTCTTACATATTAGCAGTAATCAGCTAGAAAATGTGGTGAAATAGATCATATTCCCCTAAGAACAAGATTAATATGGTATATGAGAATAAACATAATAAGAAAGATTCAAGAGCTGTATGAATGCAGCTATAAACCTTACACAGGGATGTACAAAGACACTTGAATGAGTGGAGAAACAAACCTATTCTTGGGTAATAAAATTTTATACTTATCAGTTCTTTCCAAATAAGTCTACATTTAACTGAATTCATGCCTAGCACACAATAAATGGTTTTTGAGTGAATGTTAAATAATTGAACATAATTACAAAAAAAATATTATTAGGAGTTTTTGACTTGACAAGATAATTCTAAGGTTCATTTAAAAAATTATTCAGAGTTGAGAATAAAATTTTGATAATGAAGATTAATGAAAGGATTGCCAGATCAATTATTAAAACATATGACAATATGAGACAAATTTTAACGATGGTATTGGTGCACAAACAGGTAGATTAGTGAAACAGAATAGAAAGTCAAGAAACAGATCTATGACTATTAAGTACTTAGAATATGATGGTGATATTATAAGTAGGAAAGGATGGATTTAATAAATGGTATTAGGACAACTGAAAAAAAAGTATCCCTACTTCATAACATACTCCAAAATATATCCCAAGTGGATTAAAGATTTAAATTTAAAAATGAAATTATAAAAGTGCTAGAAGGGAACATTAGAGTGTAGAGTGTCTTTCTAGACATGACCTGAAAGGCAGAAACAGTAAAGGAAGAGATTGATACAATTGATAACAAAAAACACTTTAAACTTTTGAACTTCCCAAAGTACCTTTAAAAATATAAAGGTAGCCAACTACCTTGAAAAATATTTTCAACATATGTGGCAGATTAACGGTTAAGTTCTCTACTATCCAACAAATGTATGAAAGACGTAAGCTCACTGATGACTAAAGGTGCAAATTAAAGCAAAAGAAACACCATTATTTTGGCCATTAAATTGGCAAACAACAACAACAAAAAGGTGAGGATGCACGAAAACTGGCAGTTGCCTGCACTGCTGGTAGGACTGTACCTTGGGAGAGCCTTGCTGGAGGGTTGTATGGCCAAGGTCACCCACCATTCCTTAAGAGTTTATCCTAAGGAATTTTTCATGAATATCTGCAGATATATAGTTCCAGTGATAATCAGTGCAGTGTTCTTCATTTTTTGTTTTTTTCTTTTATTTATTGAGGTATAATTGGCATGTAACATTATATTAGTTTCAGGTGTATAGCGTAATGATTTGATATCAGTATATCTTGTGAAATGATCACCACAATAAGTCTAGTTAACATCCATCACCAAACATAGAAATTTTTTTTTCTTGTGATGAAAACTTTTAAGATCTACTCTCTCAGGAACTTTCAAATATACAATACTGTATTAACTATAGTCACCATGCTGTACGTTATATCCCCATGACTGACTTATTTTGTAACTGGAAGTTTGTACCTTTTGACTACCTTCACCCATTTCACCCACCTTTCACCCCCTGCCTCTGGCAACCACCAGTCTGTTCTCTGTATCTGTGAGTTCTATGCAGTATCCTTTATAATATCAATAAATTGTGAACAACCTAAATGTCTTTCTATGGGGAAATGGTTAACTCAGTTATTATAGAGCCTTATAATGGAATACTGTGAAGTTATTAAAGATAATATTGGGAAATATTTAATGATATGGACAAATCCATGCTATGGGAGTGAAGATGGGTATCCTTTCCTCTTAATATAGGAGAGGATCATGCAAATAAAACTAAAAGATGTTTGAAGAAGCAAGGAAGAAGGATAAGCAACCTTTTACAGTGTCTAAGGCCTTGATTTTTATCAGTTAGTAAAGAAGCCAGCATATTTGCCAAGAGTTTCTGTGATGGGATCTGATTTATGATTTAGTTGGAATACATAGTTTCCAAGTTGTTAATTGATTGGGCCTCTGAATGTCAATGCTGTTTGTCAGAGGCAAGTTCACTATTGTATAGCACAGCAATGGGATGTGTTGGCCTATAGCTTAAGCATTTTTAGATTTAATAGTTTTTCAGTTTCACAGCAGAATCATGTTCTGATAATTAATAATATCTGAGCTGTTATGAGATGAAAGTACAATATTTGTTAGCTCTTATACTTTCCATAATTAATTTAAGCAAAGGTGATTACTATTAATGGGTCATAGAAAGTGATAAATGCTTTATATGTTAGGATTAATAATTTCACTTTTTCTTAAGGATTCTCGAATTCTGTGTCTCCAAGCCAGTATATTCTGTGGAGCAATGGAAATGCTAGTGGGCCATCTCTGGAAAACACCTCTGCATGGGAAGCTCTGTTAAGTTTTTTCTTTCCAACAAGTAAGTTCTTGTTTGTTGTTTTTTCCCTCCCGTCTCCTTGTTTTGAAAATAGTAGTTAAATGTTTAGGAGGCAGTGTAGTCAATTGGCATTGGGGTGGGACAGACCTGAGTGTTAATCCTGACTTTGCCCTTTGCCTTAGGCAAGATAACCTTTGAACCTCAGTGTACTCATGTTTAAAATGAAGATATTTACCACAGAGAATTGTGAGGATGAACTGAGACAGTGTTTTTAAGGCATTCCATAAATATTTGTTACTCTTTATAAAATGCTTTTCCTTCACAAATATCTAAACCTTTCACAAATTACCTTAATGGCATTGCCTGAAATTTAATAACTGACCCAGTATTGTGAAATCGATGTCTTCTGTGGCATTAATCAAGGTACTTTGTGGCTCTAATGTTATGGAATACACCAGATGTTTTCCCATCTGTTTTAGTGATAAAAAGTTCAGGTTTCAAGTCACATCGTCTTTTTGTGATTCTGTATATAATGTGTTTATCAGGTACATGGTGACCCGTGAGAATTATTAACCACAAATAACACATTTCATTTTGTTCAGCATGTGGTACCCTTTCAAGGAGAAGATTAAAATAAATTGGCATAATGTGAATTACAAAGATGAAGCTTTTATTAAAAATCCTGCAGAATTTATTCTAACAAAATTTGATGTACATATATAAACACAAAATTATATCCATTGTTTCATTCCAGACTCTACCACTAATTCTTCTGTGTCCTTGCATAAGTCTCTTCATGTTTCTCTATACAAAACAGGCATTATGACACCTAATACCACTGAGCATAGCAAAATAGATGAGATCCTTAAATGAATTAAAAATGCTGCCATGGTCAAATTGAGTGGAGAAAGAGAAATCTGAGAAAGAAAAGGTAGTATGTTGTGAAGCCAGAAGAATGGTTTAGTAAGTGCCAAAGTTGGTCATAAACAACAGCAAATGATTTAAGCTTTAGATCTTATGAAAATAGCAGATGTAAACGGTCCCATGATTACTTATAATAACTACATTATACGAACACTGAAGCCACCTTTAAAAATAGTCTAAATAAGATACCTACATCCCCAATACTCCTCCAACCTGGTGCAGTCAGTTGAGTCAAAATCAATTGTGGGAGAGAACGTTTTTGCCCCACAAAGTCAAACTGTTCCATTTTAAGAGAAATTTCTGGCTTAGGTTTATTCAAATATTTCATAACAGTGATTAAATATTTATAAAATGTGTATATTGTCTTCTTTGAGAAGAATAACTACAAGTTCATAAGATGTAAAATATTTTTAACCAATTTATTTCTTCCTCTGTATAATTGAAAATGAACAACACTCTTCCCACTTAAGCACTAAAAAGAAAAAAGTATATCATTTTGTCATTAGGCTGTTGTTTGTAAAAGATTGATCTCTTGCAGATTAAAATGATAACCTAGAGACAGACTGGCAGGGAAGCTTGAGAGGTCGCATGATCCTTCTCCCTTTGGACAAAATTATATGCTTGAATGCGTAAACCTGATAAAAATTGTTCTACCCTTTTCTTTAAAATTACAAATATCTCTTAGTAATTTGAGTCTGAAAGTTAATTTTAGCATCTAGTATAAATCCCATCAGATGCAATTTAAGCATAAAATAAGAGAAGCTCAGCCTTAGAAGGGACTTTAGAGATCTACTCCAGTCTCTTCTGTGATTTAAAATCTCTATGATTTCCATTCCTGGAAAGTCGTCTTTGAACAATGCCAGTAGTGAGGAACTCAGCACACAGCAAGTCTGTCCCAGCTCTGAGCAGGCCCTGACTACTGTCACCCTTTTCTGGGTGTATGATGCCTAGGACTGAACGTGGTATTTCAGATGCAGTCCAGCCTGGGGAGGAGAGTCACTCTGGGCCTGGCAGGATTGAAGAACAGATTGCTTAGAGTATATAACAACAGAGTAAGCTAAACTCTCATATGTCTAAAATGTTTGGGAAATGAATATCCAGGGCAACTGGTAATGCATTAATTTTGTAACCTTGCACAAGTTACTTTGATCTTTTATTTCTTTATTTTTAAAATAGAGGTTGTAAAACTCGTTTTGAAAGTTTGTTGTGAAGATTAGAAATAATGTGTGTAAAGCAAGGTACCTGGCACAAATAGGTGTGTAGTGAATGATAGCCATTGTTATTTTTACCTTAGCTTTAGGAATTGCCAGTCTTTAAGGAAGAGGACTATAATAAAATATACCAAAAGGTAAAAATATACTTATAATTATTGTATTGCTCTTTGCTGATGTTGAAGTATTTTGGAATGATCATAAAACATCAGTTATTACTTTTCTAAGTCTGTAGTTGTTGACGGTGTTGGAGATTGAACTGAATCTATGCTGGCTTTTTAAGCCATACTGTAGAGGTTTTCTTTTTGAATAAAAATCTGATATCTGCCTTTCTAAAGTTGTTTCTCTTATTTAAGGCAGGATGTTAGAAAAAGTCAGCTATTTGAGCTTGTGAGTCTTATAGATTCAAATATGCGTGAATTTATTGCAGTTGCATGAATCTTGGTGTTCACGCCATAAATCATTGCCTATTCAAAATTATGGAGTCATAACTTAAGGTCAAAAGGAAGACTCGTAAAACATACTGTAGTGCCAATATGAGGTGTTCACAGAAAGTAGGTCAATACTAATAGTATCACTTGCTTTACTCTTAGCAGTAAACTGTGTGAATTTTACTTACATTCATTCTTATTGATGCATTCAGTGAGTTTCTGTAGCTTAGTAAAATTGAGTGAGAGGATATCTGTGGTATTATTTTAACAAGGTGTTAGTTTTAAGGGCATTTGGTCTGTTCTTGTTATTTAGCTCCTTCTGCGTTATATTTATATCACTGCTACTCGGCTTATGGTTTGTCGTCCTTTTAAAACTACCTTACCAATTACCTGTTAACAATTTCTATTTTTCTGCAGTTCATCTAGAATTGAAAATGTCATGTTAAATAACTTTATGGTAACTTTTAAATTAACTCTTATTTTTTCAGCATTCATCACTATTTGTATATGTCATTCAATCTTTTCTTTAAATATACCTGGTTAAATGTTTCTTTTTCTTTTTTAAATGTTTCTTTTTCTTTTTTGTCTTGCAGTAATTATTTAATTAGGGAAAGTGCTTGATAACCATGCTGAATTCTCTTTCTTGAATGTTTTTTCCGAAAGCGTGCATTCCAAAGGAGAATCAGGTGCTGAAGGCCTGCAAGGATGACCTGCAAGATCTTAACCAGAGTGCATGTTTGGCACACAGATGCTGTTATTCTCTCGGGACCAGTAACTTCACTTGTTTTGCCCCATTGAAAGATAGTAAGTTCATCCTCTTACATTTATTATATTTCTATTTTTAAAAATCAAGAAATAAGTCACAATTGCATAAATTTATATTTGGATCTCCCAGCTTAACACTTAAAGGGGACTCCCAGCCCTAGAGCAATATTGTGCCAAAAGGTCCTGAGGTGGTCCGGTCTTTATTTGTGAGCAGTTTCTGCTTAGCCCTTAGATGTGATACATTTTGCTTTAGTCACTCTCTGTCTTGTCCTAAAGATTCCAGGCTATATGAGATGTAACCCTCAATACCTGGCAGAAGATGCCTCTTGGGCATGCCTTAGCTTACTTTCCTCTTCCCACCTTCTTTTCTTGAATAGAATTCTTCCCATTTATCTTGTCTTCAGCATCTCAGTATGTAACAGTAGACTTGAATGTTTCTTGTTAAGGTCTGTTTATTAGTTTCTCCTTGTTCTATTGTTTTTGAATTAGGTTCTTCTCTTAAGATTTTTTTTTTCTTTACGAAGTTTTGAGAACTAGACCATCTGTTTTTGTTCCTTCATTTGGATAGTGGGCATATATTACCAGTTTGGTCCCATGATGGATGTATTTGATATGATTAAACACTAACAAGTACTACAAAAAGGATGCACGCAAAACAATGTCTTAGGTTAATATAGTCCCTATTCAATTTACAGCTCTTTGTTGAATATCTAGTATTAATAATGGAAACTGAAACCTGATCATGAATATAGTATTTCACTTTTAACACTGTCACATGATGTTTATAATTCATTCATCAGTTTAGTCTTTATATTATGTGTGAAGAGACATTTGGTTCTTGTAGAGGGAAAAATTGAACCGTGACTTACAATTCCCCAATCATATTAGAATGTGTTTCCGAATGGGTAGAAGAATAAAATATGCTTATTTACCTGCAAATTCTTGATTTCTTGTTTAATTTAATGTTTTATAATTTGGAAGTAAACATTTAAGAAGCCGTTCCTTCATCAAGTTAACTAGTCATAGATTAATTCACTCCTCGAGTGCTCTAAGGTGTGTAGCACATGGCAAAAGAAAAAACAGGCTTAGGCCTGTATATTTCTTAAGAAATATACAATACGAGTTGTAATAATCTGTTAGCAAAACAGTAGGATCATTTTCTTAAGGCTTTCATTGCTGGGGGCCATGTATTTAAAGTGTAGTCTTTAGTTATATTTCAAGAACACTTCATAAACTCCTACTACTTATAGAGTAGCAAGGATATTTACCTGTCATATAAGAATACCTCCATATTTTACTTTATTAACTGATAGTTTTTTTATAATGACTTTATGAAAGAACTCAGATTTGCTTCTCTTGCTTAAGTCATAAAAGTAACAGGATATAATTAAACCGACAGAGCCAACACAGATGTTGCGGATGTTTGGGCTTGGTGTGATCAGCATGATCATCCTGGGATGTCTGCCCATTTATTGCTGCTCTCTTTGCCGGAGGAGGTAGGCAAACATAAACTTTTATTTGCTGGTTGCTGAGTATACTTGGATATTTCTGTGTAGACACGTTTATTCATATGCTCCAGAAACACAGGGATTATGTTTGGGTCCTTTTTGTTTAAAAGAGGGTATCTCAGGAAAAATGTAAAAGTACAGTTACCATAATATTTTTAAAAGACATGTTTTATTTTTCTGTAAATTTAAGACATCCTCTTGCATAGTCTGTACATTCCCTCATCAAGCAAAATCTCAATTGGAAGGAAAAATAAATCAGTGAGCTGGGGGTGCATGAAGTGTAGCTGATTATTGACTACAACTCAAGGGATTCCCAGAAGTATTAGTCTCCATCTAGTATATGGTCATCTACCATCAGGTCTTCTTTATTTGAGGAAGATTAGCCCTGAGAAAAACCACTGGAGTAGCTTTCAGCATCACAGCAATGCACCGCCACCACAGTATGACAACCAGCAGATGGGTTCTGTGGTTCCCTGATCGGGAAATGAACCCAGGCTGTGGCAGAGCACTGAATCTTAACCACTAGACCACCAGGGCTGGCTTGTCCTAACTCTAGAGCAGGTGTCAGTTTCAGCTTGCTGCTTAGCTGAATTTCCAGGAACAACGGATAGTTAAGGGTGGATGGGGCACTGTCAGCTTTTCCTGGTAAGCTGATTTTAGAAGGAAGGGGAATAATTGTGTTAGAATGAAGATTCTATCCTTGATACCAAACAAGGCGCTTATATGGAGACCAAAGTGTGCTAAACTCCCCTTTTTGGGAGCAAGAGCTCTCTTTAGCACTATCCTTTTAACTCATTTCCCGTTCTTCATTTCAAAGAATAAAGAGAGAGATAAAATATTATAGTAGGTAAAATAAATGGCCTCATAAGAGGAAAATAGATTCAGCAGTAAAATCAGTATGTAGTCATTTGAAAAAGAAAAGAAGCCAAACACAGTTGCTTGTCTAAATCAGAGGGGCTAAAAGCCAAATGCAGATCGGCAGTAACAGTGTCTGGGCCTCTTTGTTGGAAGAAGTCTTGAGGCATTGGAAGATGCTCTTCAGCTCCTCCTCCTGCTGGGTCCTGTCCTATATATTAAGTATACATTCCTTCAGGAAAATACCGTTATAGCTCTCCTCTCTGCCTTCAGTCATAAGAAAAAAGAAATGATGTTTTGACATTTCCCAGCTCCTGCGGTTTGGACAGTTCCTTTTATTACAGATCACCTAAGGAGCTGACAACTAGCAAGGGCTGGAGGGATGAAAAATGAGAAGCAATATGAGCAGGTGGGAGAAATGAAACCAGTTTAGATGAAGAGGATAATCACTTTCCAGAGCCAAATATATTTCATTCTTTTGGTGCCTAGTTCATGCTTTCCATAATTGACCATATTCAGTCACTATTTGCTTGTGCTAGGTATTGTGGAGGGTATAGAGACGTCTAAGACCATAGGCCCGACTTTTAAGGAGCTTAAATCTACCTTAAAATATATCCCAAGCATGACATATTAAATAACAATATAAGATGAAATATAATTAGGACTACAATGAGCAGTGGCAATAACTTACAAAAGTTCTGAGGCAATGGACGTCAAGATGGTTGAGAGAGAGCAGGGTCAGCTCCACTGTGGAGGTGCTATTTGAGCTTAGTTTTGAAGGGAGGACAACATTTGGGTTAGGTGCAGAGGGGGCCCTTCCACAGAATTCATTATATCTCGATGGGGTCTCCTTGCTATAGACCCCTTAACTGCTTGTCATTTCTAAGCAGAACTGGCTGAAATGCCACCTGGAATAATCTATAACTGAACCTCTAGTTTACTTCTATTCGACTTGAACTCAGGTGTGTTATGAATCAGGTACACTGAGAACCAGCTTGAACTGGTTGCACGTATACAAAAGAGAGCAGAGAGCATTAGTAAAAAGCTTTCTAAGAATTTGCTACTACTAATAGCCTTAGTAACTCACGTATAAGATGTGTTTTGAAATTCATTACGTCCTCAAGGTTATGTAAGATTTATTTTTATTCTCATTAATAAGGATCAGAAGGCTCATTAGGTTTAAGTGTCACTGGTAGGCTTAAGACTTACATAGAGCTGAAGGAAGAAAAAGATCAGGTGGATAGGGACAAAAGGAAGCAGGGTAGGGGCTCTCGGGGAAGAGAAGGAAAGGCGGGTGGCTGAATTATGCCCATTACAGTAATAGAGTGCTAATAACAGTAGTCTGAAGTGCGAAATTCAGTGTCTAATCTTTATTGGTTTTTAGATAAAGTTTAATCTGTATGCATATGCCAGTTAAACATCTGTGTGTTATATAGTGATAGGATACTTGAGTGTGTACATAGCTTTGGTAAGGTGGAAAATTCAAACATTATAATACCATGCCTATTAAACTCAGATGAAGTGCATTTTCATATTCTTTTTCTTCCTATCAGATTGAATTTGTAACTCTGAATTAAGAAAAAATTCAGAACTCAGTCTGAAAATGACAAAACTATGTTTTCTTTCACTTAATAAAAAGCCATGCTTTTTTTAAGGTTGTAGATCATCTGATACACAGATGATGTAAATAGCACATCCCCCATACACTTTCAACGTTGCTACTTGCCAGATGGCTGTTACTGAAAATTTCTACATTTAGACAAATCTTGCTGCGTGATTCTCTGTATTATAATGTGGTTTTCATTATGCAGATAGTCTTAATACCACTTACTTTCTTAGAATGGGAAGTAAAGAATTGGGAATAAATGTGTCAAAAATTGCCTAAAAATCATCACCCATTGAATTTCAAAAATAGGCATTTACATTTTCAAATCCCCATGTTTGTGTGTTTCATTATACTGTACAGTATAATTAGTAATGTTATTTTGAAAAGCGTTATGCAGTAATTAGCCAACTGCTGAAAGGTTTGAAGTTCCTAGGATTATATACATATGAATTCAGAGAAAGGAAATAAAATCTATAAATTTTAAAAGTATGGCTAGGCTCTAAGAACTTTGAGAAAATATGATCAGATGAGAATGTGAGCAAACTGGAACCCTGCTCTAACATGAGTCACTGTAGATTTGAAATTCACGTAGAACTGGTTCTTCTTGGACCCTGTTCAAGGTAATTTAGCTGCTGAACTAATAAGAGAACCTCATTATATGTGGATTATATGTCTGAGGTGTTCCCATTGCAAGGACTCCAAGGGCAGCATTTTAGAGAATTCTGGAATAGTCGATACGATTAAAAAGAACAGTTTGTTGCCAAGTAACTAATAACTTCATTGCAAAACGCAGTGACCTTTTTTCAGTTCCCATCCAACTTGACCTTTTTGTCACGTAGTACACTGTTGACTGCTCCTGTCTCGAATCTTTCCTTCCTTGGATTTTATTGTTCTTCTTACCATTCTGATCCATCTCAGTTTGCTTTTCTTTCTTCTCCCAGCTGTGGTTGTTTCCCAAAGCCTTATTCTCATCTACCGGAGAATATTACAAGTTTGTAGCAGAAAGAACATTTAAAAAGACCTGAGTTCTAGTTCTGCCTTTGCCACCAGTTTTATGGTGAGCCTAACTTCTTTTGGTATTGCTTTTCTCATAATATTAGAGTAAATAATGAATTAAATAATTTCTAGGGTTCTTTCTGACCATAATATTCTGGGCGATTCTGCATGAATGATTCCTAAATCTGAATCCTGAAATCCTCACCTCTGCCTCTTCCATATTTCCAACCGCTCTCATGAATTAGATGTTCTGTCAGCACCTTAAATGCAACATGTGCAAAACTGAACTTATCTTCTTTTTCTCCCAAGTCGTTTCCCCTTGACACTTGTCCATTTCTGTCAGTGGTTTCATTGGTCTCCCAGGCTAGGAACCTTGGAATTATTTCTGACTGTTTACTTTCCTTTATCCTCAATCTATAATCTGTTCTCTTAGTCACCCTGTCATTTTTTAGTTTCCTTTGGAATGAGTCTGGGATTTGTCTCTTCTCTCATTTTATAGTCACAGCTTAGTCCAGGCCTCGTATGCTGTCAGCTACTCTGCTGGGTAAGTGGTTTCAGGAGAGAAGCAAAAGGGAACCAAGATCTAGTAATCTTCAAGGGCTGCCATAACAATATCCCGCAGACTGGATGGATTAACCAGTAGACATTTGTTTTCTCACAGTTCTGCAGGCCAGAAGTCCATGATCAAGATGCCAGCTAATTTGATTTCTGGTGAGGTCTCTCTTCCTAGCTTGCAGATAGGGATCTTTCTGCTGTGTACTCACATGGCCTTTCTTTGATGCAATGAAAGTGGGAAGAGAGAGAAAGAACAAGCTCCCTGGTGTCTCTTTTTATAGTGACTCTAGTTTTACCAACCGAGACCCCACCCTTATGACCTCATTTACCCTTAAATACTTCCTTAGAACCCCCATCTCCAAATATAGCCACACTGGGTGTTATGGCTTTAGTATATGGATTTTAGGGACACAAACATTCAGTCCATAACACAAGGCTAGCTAGCATCCAAAGGCAAAGGCAGGATTGGGAACTGAGGAAGGCATCATAATATGTCCAATCCAAAGAGTTCATACAAGAGAGATAATAACTGGAATGGGACTGCAAGTGGGATTTGGAAGATGGCTGGGAGTTGAGTCCTGGACAAGTTTCTTGGCACTTCAGTAGGAATGTATGGCTGTGCCCTTAGGAAGGAGGGAATTGAGTAAGGATGCTTGCTAGGCCGATTTGTACATATACCTGGGCTCCTAATCTGTTCCTTCTAATCCATCTTGTAATGTCCTGACAGACTTATCTTCTGAAAATACTATTAGTTCGTTTCATTATATCAATCAAGAACTTCTAATGTATTCAAGAATATCTGGATTCTAGGCCGTGTGCTAGGTGCTGTGAAGGACAAAAAAAGTGAAGCAGATCATGCTGCCTGCTCTCAGGGACATACAGTCTAATGAGGGATCTGTACAAGTATCCAAGGTAAAAAGTCACACTCTATAAAAAAGCTACAGATAAAACAATAAGAATGTTTGTTTTTTTCCGGTTTATATAGTTTTCTCACATACATTGTCTTATTTGATCTCTAAAACAGAGAGGTACAGGGAGGCTTGACTTCTTGCTTAAGATTTACATAGTGGTAAGGCAAGGACTCCAATCTCTCTTCCGAGTTACTTGCTGTTTCTACTATAGGAAATAGGAAGAAAAAAATGTAGATAAAAACACAATGGCATCTTGTTACTGCAAGTCCACTCAAAGTGCTGTGGCTTTCAAAGTCATCTATACCGGACTCATTCTATAACTCCAATATTATTTCTTGTAACACTCTGTATCTTTTGCTCCAGCCAGGGTGCTATCTTTAGTTTTCTTGGCATACGCCAGGCTTTCTTCTTACCTCTGTTCTTTTGCCCATGTTGCTCCCAGGCCTTGGGATTGTTCTTCTTCATCCTCTTCACTTATTTGAATTCTTTCTAAGTTGCAACTGCCTCAACTCTTCCGTGAAGTGTTTTGCAACTGCTCCAGGTCCCAATATTTTCTCTTTTCTCAGGACCTCTTTCTGCACTTGTATTCTTTCTAACACATAATTATCCTTTGTTTCCTGTTGTTAGTTTTCTTTCTCTGGTTAAATTGTAACTTTCATAAGGACAAGGGACCAAGCTTCATATTTCTTTGAGTCCAGGACTGTGTTTCCCAAAATGGAGTTCCTGACCATTATCATCATCATCCCTGGGAGCATGTAAGAAATGCATGTTCTCAGCCCCCACCCCACCTACTGAATCAGAAACTCTGGGCTTAGAGCCCAGCAATTGGTGTTTTAACAAGCACAACAAGTGATTCTCATGTACACTCAGGTTTGGGAACCACTAGTGTCTAGGCCGTGTAGTAGGCAATTCGATATATAATGATTGAAATAATCTAGTTAGTCATTTCTCTGGATTTTCTGACTATCTTTGTGACTGCCAATGATAAGTTAAACTTATATAATTTTCTATGTATAAAATTTATGTTATGTTCTTTAAATTATCTTAAAGAATTTATGTTTATATTAATGAATTAGAGATTGTTAAGAAACATGAAAAAATCAGCCCACTAGACCAGTATTTCTCAAACTCTGGTCTGTAGATGGCTTCTATGGAAGTAATCTTGGGAATATTTGACAATACAGATTCTTGGGCTGTACCCAAGCGATTCTAATTTAGTAAGTCTGGGTCTTTGTCTCCTGCCAATCTCTGCTTACTTCTACTTGGACTTATTTCAGTGTGATGTAATTATCAGCCTTATATCTGTCTTCTCTTCTAAATTTTAAGCTCCTTGAGGGCAGGTCCCATGTCTTATTCATCTTTATGTCTCTAGTATTTAGAATAGTATTTATTTCATAAACGAGCTATTGTGTCAGTCCGTGAATGAATATGGGGTAACTGGGTCTGTACATTTCAAGTGTGAGTATGCTGGCCACAATATATGACATTTTATATGAAAAGAAGAAAATCACTTCTAGGACACTAGACAAATCATTTCAACCCTTTTTCCCCTTAGGCATCCTCATTATATATTGGGTGGCATATCTAACTTTGCATCTCAGAATGTTAGAAGGCTGGGCCTAAAACCAAGTCCTCTGCAGCCTAGAGCAGTGCACTGGCTTTTGAAAGTAATAAGGCTGTGTTACATTTTTCTTTGTAAATTGAGGTGCAATGTACACTATTACATTTAAAATAAAATCTATGGATAAAGAAAACAGAGTCATTTTAATTGTTTAAAGTAAGATATATTGAAGTCACAGCATTAGAAAATATGTCCTTCATTTCTTATCTAAAATTCTGAAATTCAGAAAGTTCTGCAAACCTAAAGCTTTTTTCCTAACTCATTTGGCAACAGAACTGAACCTGACCTGACACTCTTTCTAGTCATTATTTAATGCTTATAGTAAGTATTCATTTATTTTGTTGCAGAAATATTGCTGTGTTTGCTTATGAGATGCTACCCCAGACCCCATGACAGTATCATGTAATATTCAGTATGTCATGCCATATTACCTTTCTAAAATCCGAAATATTCTGCATTCTGAAACACATCTGGCCCCAAGGGACTGAGAACTATGTAGTTGTTTCAGTTATTATTTTTTTTGAGACTGCAGTTAAAAAACACCGTGACATAAAGAGGCCATAGGTAAATCATAGAAATATATTTTTGGCCTTCACCCACTATTTCATTTATGCCTGGAGATCTTTTTATGATTAATTGAGAAAAAGGTGTTTATTTGCTCCACATCTGTCTTACCTAGTAGAGCTCAGTGACAACTCAGTAATGCAGTTTTAGGGGAGAAAAGTGAGTATTGCCTTCAAAGTCATCATTTGAAAGGCAGGCTTGTCTATCTCTGGGCCCCACATGCTCAGAATCTGGTTGCTCAGTATAGCTACGTAGCACTGTCAGGGGTCAGGTGTCCTCTTCTGTGTGCTACCTAGCATTGAGCTGAGGATAGGAATATGTATCTGTCACCTATTCATCATATTGAATGCAAATCTTTCTTTCTTTCTCTTTGGTTTCCATCTTTACCTCTGCCTTGAGCATTTCTATGTTTTTCTCCTTGGCTTGTGTTTAGGTCTTTAGAAAGTGAAAGCTCTATAAACATAAAAATCAGCTAACATTTCCTGAACACCCATTGGGTACCAGGCCCTGTGGAGTATAAAAAGTTAAGAGGTAAATTTTTAGCCTGAAGTTATTTCCAAGCTCAGAGGGAAAAAAGAGACAGGTGAGCATAGTGGATAGAGATTGAACTTTAGACTTAGGCAGATTTGGATTTGAATCCTGGCTTCACTACTGAGTAGTCTGGTGGCTTTGGGAAAGTTGCTTTCCTCCTCAGTGCCTCAGTTTCCCCATCTGAAAAATGGAAATGATAGAAATAGTGCCTGCCTCATCAAGTCATCATGAAGACTAAATGAGATCATGTACATGAAGTGCTTATATCCAGGCCTTGACACATAGGAAGTCTATCATGATTGTCGTTATTAGTCATTATTAGCTAATGCTGCAATGTGGTCTAATGGAAAGAGTCTATACTTTAGAGTCAGACAGACCTAGGTACAAATGCCAGCATCTCCGTTTACTGGCTGTGTATGACCTTGAGTGAGTTATCTTACCTTTCTAAGCCCCAATTTAATCATTTGCAAAATAGGAAACACAATATCCACCTTTTAGGATGGTTGTGAGAATTAAATGAGATAAAGTATGTAAAGCACCTGGCCAAGTTCTTGTCCTATGATAGGTTCTCAAGTGCCGCCCTTCACCCACTGTCCACGCAAATACAAGGAAGTACAGGATTGAATACCAAATGATGGTAATAGGGGAAGTCCAAAATTGTTAAATTGTAGATGCTAATATAATGTAAACTATTACTATTTAGTTTTGAAGTTCATAGGAGAGAGGTATCCCTATAGGCTAGGAGTGAAAGGGAAGGCTTCTTAGACAAGATAATAGAAGCTGGGTCTTAAAGGGTGGGTAACATTGATGTCAGCAGAGGGAAGTAAGACAGCACTCCTGTTGTGATGGATCAAATGATCAAAATGACTGTATATAGAGTGACAATAGTGATTACAATAATAAATATGAGTGAGCCAGATGTAATACTTCCTATCAGATTTATTAAATCTGGTGAGTTAAACAATCAGGTGGAAATGTGTAAAGAGTTATGTAGGCAAATAACCTTTTCCTTCTAATTTACCATTGTTATTGTTCTATCACTGAAATAAGGTTTCACTTTGAACTTTTAATATTACAGCAAATGGACCAATCATTTACGAAGGAAAGTTAACAGAGTTTTAAAGGATTGGAAGAAACAAAGAAACAAACTAAAGAAGGATACTGAAGTAGTAGGGGCAACAATGGAAGATGAGAAAGGACTAGATGATGGCAAGGAGCAGGAGTCTAAAGGTAATTGACCATAAGGTATAAAGTTGGAGTATTTAATATTTGATTCTTGTTGCCATCATCTTGGTTTGAGTGATGCTTATGTTTTACCCCACAAATGTTTGGACCACAGGAGTATCAGCTTCTGAAATGATATTATCACTAGGGATATTTGGATGGTAGGAAGGCGGACAAAAATGTGCCAAGTTGTTTGGGTACCACATTATTTGGTGTATGTAGTTCAGCCCTGCAGGGGAAACAAAGAAATGGAATCTGCCTACTCTGACTCTGAGGCTCTATGATAGACACCCTTGATAAATAATAATGGCCATAGTCCCCCATATGTGTTGACCACACTACATATCCAGGAGACGGAGCATAGCCTCAGGAGTCTGACAGCTCTGTGATTGAATCCTGGATCCTAGCGGTTAATTTCAGCTACCTGCTCTCCAAACTTACACAATGCAGTATTAGAAGAGGTTGAGAGAGGGGATCCCAGAATCAAACACTAAGAACTCCCAGGCCTCACTTGCACAGGCTTACAGATACCCTAGCCTTGGCTTGAGCCTCTGCTTTTCAAAATAATTGTGAAGGGCTGAGCAAGAATAAAATGGTTGGTGAGAAAAGAGGTATACTTCAGAGTACTGGACTGGGAGTCAGGAGATTCAGGCTATTAACTAGTGGTGTTTCCATGGGCAAGTAACTTAACCTTTCAGCTCCTTGATACCATCAGCTGAGATTTTTTTGTGTAGCTTAAACAATATAACGTCTATGAAAATGCTTTGAAAATTGCAATGCGTTACTCAAATTTAATGTGTTAATTTCTAGCCTCAGTTACAGAGAAGCGGAGATTAGAAGAACAGACCATTGAACTTAGGCTCAGGAGACTCTGGCTTTAGTCCCAGTTCTGCCATTGTTTACAGTGGGGGCTTGGGAAAATCCCTTAATTTTCCTGGGCCTCAGTTCACCAAGCTGCAAAAGGAGAAGTTTGGACCAGATGAATAAGAAAAGTGACTTATCTCAGGAGAAACAAAAGAAAATCCTTATATAGTATTATATGTGTGTGTATATAACATATTTCTTATATAAGCTGATACGTAAGTGTATATAATAATAATCATACATGTATATTATTATACATACCTATGTATTACTTTGTGTAAGTTTAATGCAGTACATACATGTGCATATGTATGCATGCACACACACGTACACATATGTGACATTATAACTAGACAAACAAAACTTGATTTCTGTGGGCCATTCATTGGGGCATAGAAGTTAATTTTGTTATTCAGAAACTGTCATTGCAATGGTATTTGCTATAGTGTATTTTGTCTGTATGCCTCACAGTAAAATAAGATGATGATACACTGGCAAACTGAAAATACATGTTAGTCATAGCATTCAATATATAGGGTTTGAGAACTTTGTTGCAGTCATTTCCTTTTATTACAAAGTGTGATGTATGTATACTAGTCTTTCTAAGTTGTTTAACTCCATTTTACTTTTCTCCTGTAGCATTACTTTCCCAGTGAGAAGAACGCAAACCATTCAGAGCACAGGAGACTGTCCCAGTCATCTAAACCTGATGGAGCGTTTTTGAAAGACAAAAATTAGTTCTTATTTTTGTCATGTTTACTTCCAAATATAAAATAAAGTTGATAGTTTTGTTTTTGTGCATCAAACCAGAATCCTGATTCTTTTTATTAAAAATAATTTCTATAGAATTTTAAATGCCATATGACAGGCACTGGTGGTGTTTCAGGCCCTAGATAGTGACGAGATTTTTGCAACTTGGGTTATGTTATCAACGTATACTTCTGTTGGTGTTAAATAAGGCAGAGATTTTGTGTTGTTATTCACCTTCTAAAAAAGTGGGGGCAAAAACCCAGTGATCATATTTTACTGTATATGATACTCTATTCATTTTGAGAAAAAGAGCTAATAACATTTTGTAGTAGGGTTCTACTTTTTATTTTATAATTTATAACATTATTTTTTCTACCATAAAAGACAGACTCATAATAGAAAATTTGCTAAATAAGGTTATTAGAAGAAAAAAAGTAAACCATAATCCCACTACCTCGACAACAGAACTGAACACTGTTATCTCATGTTTTCTTTACTTTTTAAAGAAAACAATTATGTTCTGTGACTACATAACTGATTTTCTTTAAAGTTATATCTTTCTGTATGATTCACTTTACTCTTTTGAAATGTATGGGGCTCAAGTTTACCTGGGCTTGTTGCTCATTCATTCAGTATTGATTGAGTCTCTGCTATGGGCCATGCACTTTCTATGGACTAGGGATATAGTCACAAGCAAGATAGACTTGGCCTTTCCCTCATGGAGTTCACAGTCCAGCTGGGGAGGAAGCCAGATAAAGAGGTAATGACAGGACTGTGTTAGGAGGAGTACCACGTTCTATGGGAGCACATAGCAGGGGCATCTAGCCCAGACTTCAGGAAGAGACATAAAATGAAAGGTAAGAAGGATCAACAGACACTTGCCATGTCATCACTGCGTGGTGGGAGAAGTGTTTCAGAATGTGAAGGCCCAAAGGCATGGAGTATTTGGAGCACTGCAAGTAGTTCAAGATGGCAGCAACTTCAACTTGATGTTAGATCGGAAGAACTTTATAACCCACATGAAAGAGTCAGATATTATCCTGTGGACAGAAAGGAACCAATGAAGGGTTTTAATCAAAGGAAGGATATTGTTAGATTTACATCCTGGGAGGTCACTCTGGCAATTGTGTGAGAATTGAACGTGAGCGACACTAGAGTCAAGGGAGCCAGTTATGAGGTGGTTATATTAATATGGATGAGAAAATACGGTGTCCTGGACTAGCGTAGTGGCACCGTGGATACAGGTAAATAGATTTGAGAGCTTTTTAGCGTGTAGCATCAGTAGGACTTGGTGATTAATGTGTATGTGGGAAGAAATGAGAAGTTGAAAGGGGAGTATGAGTTTCAGGTTTCTAAATGACGGCCGACTGGAAAGAAGTGGTACTATTCACTGAGGTGGGACAATGAGAAGAAGGGCAGGTTTGGCAGGTGAAGGTGAGTCATTTTTGGGTAGGCTGTGTGAAGTGCCTGTGGGCCATCCAGGTAGAGATGACTAGTAGGCAGTTAGATATATGGGTTTGGAGCTCAGGAGAAAGATCTGGCTAGATAGAGAAGTTTAGGAGTCATCAATATATAGATGATAATTGAAGTCACAGTGAATGATTTCAACCAAGAAGAATAAGAAAAAAAGAAGGGACTGGAATAGAATTCAGAGAAACACAGCATTTAAAGGATGGTCCTGACAAATAAAAATGGCAAGCAATAGGATATATTGGAGTATATGAGGAAGCCATTTGGTATAAACCTAATTGGGCCTGACTTTTTTTTTTCAAAAGGGCCTGACTGTGGCTATTGAGCACGCATTGCATATCTACTTAGACATTTCCTATGGCCAGAACAAAGGCCCTTGAGATAAAGGTGCAACTTTCCCCCACATTAGCATTTCCTTAGGGATAAGCATTTTTCCTTAGGCTAGGAATTGATTGCTGCACTCACCTCCCAGCTCACCTGTGACCACCCAGCTGGAGACAACAGACTGCCACCCTGCTGTGTTCACCGAGACAGCAGACCTACCTGCTATTTCCATCAATCGCTGTGCCGACAGAGCAGTCTCGCGACTATTGTAAAAGGGACATTTCAATCCTATGTGAAACATCCTCTTTGAGGGTATATAACCACCCTTATACCCCGACTTCTTTGGAGTGCTCTGTTCCTTTGTGGAAAGACTCTCCCGGGTTATAATCCTCAGATTTAAGCTCAGAATAAACTCACCCAAATTTTCATTTATAGATTGGATATGGATTATTTTCGTCGACAGTTCTTGGCGTAGTCGCGGCAGGATTTCAGAGAAACCCACAGGAGGCCACCTGGAATCTACGCTGAACCAGCATTTGGTACCAATAAGGGCCCATTGAGCCCCCCGGATCACTGCATTCTTCAGGTGACCTTGGTGAGTTCTCCTGAAACCCGGACCTCCTTATTTTAAGTCGATGGTCCAAGAGTTTATATGAGCTGGGTAAGGTCTTAAGACTAGAGGTTTTGAGGGGTACCGGTACAGTTCCTAGGTGGAGAAAAACCTAGAGAGAATTCCTAAGCCTCAGGGGCTTAGAGGAGCTTGGAGTGAGCTGGGTTGGTTGTCCTTTTAATTTGGCTTTGAATTGGAAAGAATTGTATTTATAAAGTCTGAACAAACTGCTTGATAGAGAAATGAGAGACTGAATGTCTTCAGCTCCGAAGAAAAGGGACACTTGCTCCTCCCGGCCTTTACCAAAAGGCGCCCTTAGGTGACTAAGGACCTCAGCGGGAGTGTCAGAGGATCAATCCTCGCGACGTGCAGCGGTCCCATAGGGAACTCCACTCTCATTCACGGTAATTAATTACAGGCTCGTCCGGGGACGCGCACATAAGGGCTGGTCACCCGCGCTCCGAGCTCCCAAGGCAGTATTAGGCGGCCGGAGGGAAAAACCGAGGCACGTAAGAGAGTGTTTACGACCTTTCTATGGGGAGTAACACTCAGAAGCAGCACACTTCTGACCCACTACACTGTCCTTAGAAGTTGTTCAGACTTTATTTAAAAAAAAAACAAAAACAAAAACAGACAAGCAAAAAGAAAATGGGAAAACCGTGCTTTTTAAAGCCGGCCAGCTCCCGGATGGACGACCTCCCAATGGAACTCCAGCTGGTTTGCTGTATGGAAACAATGCTTGCAAGTATCTAACAAAATGGGAAGGATTAACTAAGAATGACTTAAGTGGCCAAAGTGGGGAACGTTCGATATCTCAAAGCTACTGTATTTGTGCGCACAAGTAGAAAGAGCCGGCTCTAAAACTAAAGCAAAAGAATGGGAAGCTTATTATGATTGGCATTTAGAGGCTTCAAAACGTAAAAATGATAAAGCGAATTCTTTACAGGAGACTAACCGTAAATTGGCAGAGACTGTATCTGAATTTAAAAAGGATAAGAAGCCAGAAACTGTCCCACCCCGTTTATCCCTTCCATCTCCTCTGCAGCTGCCTTTGGAATCTCAGAGCTCATCTCCTTCTTTTCTAAAGAGCTCTATTCCATTGACTTAAAGTAAGCGCTTACAAAAAGTTTTTCTGAATAGAACTAACCCAAATGTCTTCATCTCTCTTAGAGTTACAATGGCCATTTTCGCCTCCTTTTGAGCTTTGCAACCTGGAAACAAATCTTTAAGGAGTAAAAGGCTCCAGCCCTGGGAGCCCCAACTTTGGGTTTATGGGCCTGATCACCTCAGTAACCCTAAGTGGGGTGCCCTCTCTTGACAGTTGACTCATTTTAGTCACCTACTGAGTCAGTTATAAGGGTAGGAGACCTGTGATTTATTCTGTGAACTGTCGTGCTAGGGTAGTGTGCCCCAGCACGGGAACTGTTGTGTGACTCTTATCTTGATAACCCTCTGGAAGAGGCCAAGAGGGCGAGGTCTGATCTCTTCTTTTCCTTTCTTTGTCTGTGTTGCTCATCACCTCCTTTGTTTGTCACCAAGTCGAGGTTAAAGTTCAGGCTGGACCTGACCAGAACCTGGACCTTCTGTAAAATCGAAAACTTGGGTTTCTCTGTGCCTTTGTGATGCAGTTGGACAGGTAGATCAACCTGGAATGTAATTTGAGTTAAAACCCAGTTTCTGAGAAATCAAGAGTTTTGGCATAAAGTAAGTGCTTGCATAAATTCTAAATGTAGTAGAAATTAACCCAGTATCTTTCAAAGTTAACGTCTTGTGAATTAACCTTTGGTAAATGAAAGCTTGTTTAAGTTTGTTGGTTTGATTGAAAATAGTCTTGTTGTCAGAGTTGTCGGTATTTGCATAACGATGCAGGCATGCAGCCTGGGTTTACTAGTCAAATAAGTTCATGTTGTCTGTTAGAAATTCGTCAGCAAAATAATAGCTTTAAATGAGGACCAGTTTTGTCTCATGTCTCATGAGGTTTTCATAGGTAATCTGAACATAAGTGTTGGAAACAAACGGTTTAAATAGATAAAAGTGGGTACAATAACTGTTTTATGGTCTGTATACTTGGAAGAAGGAAAAAAAAAAACACCTTTGAAATTCTTTTTGGTTTTGCCAAGTCAAGTTAAATGATAAAAATCTGAATATCTGGGTAATTTTTGGATTGGATAGAACAAACGTTGCTAAACATCTAAGTTTATCTGCTTTTGGTTTTTATTGCAGAGATGCTAAAGTCTATGGGTCTTTTACTGTAAAGTGATGTGTTCCTAGAAATTATGAAGTGTTTAGAATGCTGATATAAAAGACAATTTGTAATTGCTTACCTTTTAGTGTTTACTAGGGTCTGTTAATGGTTAAAAGTTCTAATTAACATATGTAATTAAAGCCATTGGAAATTAATAAGGAAAACAGCTCTGCATTCAAGGAAAGTTAAAATGTAAGTTTTCAGTAAAAAGGGTATAAAGAATGGAAATATTTTTGTTTGGTTGGTTAAGAAAGATAAATTTGTCCTAATGTACTAGAAGAGAAGAAAGAAAGCATGGGACAAATTCTGAAGGCAAAAAGAAAGTTGTAGAAGGTTTGTGAAGGAGAAATTCTGAAAGGAGTTTTATGCCTGGTCAAGTAGACTGAGATTAAAGTAAATCCAATTAA